AATTTGCTCTAAGCCATCCAGCTCAATTGGCATAACATACTACAGAAAAACATTGTTCTATATCCTACTTTGGTGAGTAGCAACTGGGATCTTAAAAGCTTGCAAGCAGCCATCTAGATGGAAGGATAGGTGTCTCTTGGTCCAGAGCAAAGAAGAATGAAGAAAACCAAAGACGCAGTCCCAAGTGACTGGTATACCATGTGATCCTCAGCCTATATGACTATGAGACCAGAAGAAATAGATGGTGCCTGGCTACCACCGTCAACCTCTCGGAAGGGGATCTACATAGGAGATCCTTGATAGAATGGGAGAACAATGTGGAACAAAACTCAAAATCATTAAAAAAAAAAAAAAAAGGATCAAGTTTGCTGGTCTGATAGAGCCTGGTGGAACCCCTGAGACTATGGCCCTTACCTGTCCTTCAGGTCTGGAATTGAACCTACTTTTGTGGCTGCCAGCCAAACAAAAGAAGCATATGAGCTGAACATTAGGTAGATAAACTCCTTGGAAAGAACAATCATGGGAGAATAGAAGGGCTGTGTACGCACAGGGAGACAGCTGGGGCAGGGGGAAGATTGCATGGGAGGGAAGGACACAGGGAAGAGGTAACTAGGGGGAGGAAGTCGGAAGGGAGCTGTTGATTGTGGGAAACTGCAGTCAATGTCATAAGACAAAGTGTATGTGAGCTGCTGTATGGAAATGAATTTGCTCTGTAAACTTTCACCCAAATCACAATAAAAAAAAGAAAAAAAGAAAGAAATTTTCTCTAATCCCTTTATGGGCTTCTTTGGTAAAAGCTTACATTTACAATGGCTTACAGGAATCTCTCCGATATGGGCCCTTACCTCTCTAGAACAGTGTTCTCCCACTGAAATATAATGGGAGCTATGTATGAATTTTTAATTTTTCTAGTAGCTATATTTTAAAAAATAAAATTTATATGTTTTATTTAATGCACTGTTTTGGCCCTCTAGTGCTGCTATAACAGACATACCACAAATGTATGGCTTTACACAAACAGGGATTTATTCTCTTATGGTTTAGGAGGCTAGACGTCTGAGTCCAAAGTGCCTGCTCTAGAGGCTAAATAAAGGCCCCTTGACCTTGGGCTTCAGCTCTGCCTCTTGCTCCCGGTCCACTGCAGCTGGAGGCATCTCTTAACTCAGGCAGCTGCTGACTGCTGAGGCTGACAGACCCAAGGTCGACAAATAAAATGGCACAGTTCCAAGATACCATGCAACATGGCAGGGCACTAGTTCAAGTCCAGAGACAGTCTCAAGATAGTTAGACAACATGGCAGGGTACTGAGATGAAAACTCAGCCAAATGCAGGATCCAGATGTGCCAAGAAGCTCCAAGACCTTTCTCAAAGCTGCTGCTTCTACACTGGAAGCAGACCACATCCCTAAGGCAGCTGTTCAGCTGCTCACAGTAGATTCCACCATGGAGTTGAATACTAGTCACATCATGGGGAATAACTACATCTAGCTGCCCAGCCAGTCAAAACAAAGCCTAGCCAAGTTGACACATAACCTTAACTGTTGTTGTTATATGCCATCGAGTTGGACCTGACTCATAGTGACCCCTCCTTGGGTTTCTGTGGTGGTTATCACTATGGAAGTAGATTGCCCAACCTTCCTTCCGAGGAGTGGCTAGCGGGTTTGAACCGCCAGCCTTCTGGTTAGCAGTCAAGTGCCTTAGGCATTATGCTACCAGACTCAATATATCCAAAATATTGTCATCTCAACATGTAATCAGTATAAAAATGTTCCATGTGGCTAGTGGCTACAACCTACTACTGGCCCGGACAGAACTGATCCAGATCTTTCTAATACAGTGAAATTTGTGGGAACAAGAACTTGACAGGACTGCCTTGTTTTTCTGGGTCTCGCAAATTTTCCATCTCTGACAGGATTCAGTCTTACCAGTTTTCTCTTGCTTTCTATTAGTGGATAATATTTTAATTTTCCATCTCTGACAGGTTTCTACCTTATACAGGTTATGGCTTTGCCAGGTTTTAGTGTACTTCTCTCCCTTCCCTTACTCTGTGCCAGGCCTTCTCTGTCTCAGAGCTCTATGTGTGCTGATGTCTGTCCAGAGAGATATCCACAGAGGTCATGATGCCTTCAGCATTTTCTGATCCTGACTACTGGACTGAAGGCGGAGACCCTGTCTATTCTGTTTGTTATTGTGTCTGTCACACCTATGCAATAGATACTATTTGTTGACTGCTGTCTCAGTGAGGCCTTCCCTGGCCCCTTGCATAAGATCAACACCTGCCATCAACTCTCTACCTCATACCAAGTCCCTATCTCCTTTCATGATTTTTTTTCCTTCACACAAAGTCCATATATCCTTTCATGTTTTATTTTTTCCCCCTATATATAACACTATCCAATAAAGACATATTTTACTTATGCAGTTAATACAGTATACCTTATCTGTTTATCATCCTGTACCAGTTACCTCTGTGCTACTCTAACAGAAAATATACCACAAATGGGATGCTTGAACAAACAGGAGTTTATTCTCTTAACATTTTGGAGGTTTGAACTCTGAGTTCAAAGTGCTAGGCTCTAGGGGCTGGGTGAAAGCCCCTCAACCTTGGGCTTCATTCAGCTCTACCTCCTGCTCCAGGCCCACTGGAGCTAGAGGCTTTTCCTCACTCAGCTGCTGGCTGCTGAGGCTGACAAGCCCAAGGTTGACAAGTAAAAAGGCACAGTCCCCATGTTACCAAACCACAGGGCAGGCCATTAATTCAAGTCCATTCAAAGTCCCAAGGTTGGCAGAACATGGCAGGCTGCTGAACAATGACTTGGCTACATACAGGGTTCAAGCATGCCATAAGCTAGAAACCATTCCCCAAGGCTTCTCCTTATTACATAGGAAGCAGACCACATTCCTAAGGCAGCTACTCAGCTGCTCACAGTAGATTCCACCATGGAGTTGATTACCAGTCTCATTATGGGGAATACTATATCCAGCTGCCCAGCCACTCAACCAGGCCCAGCCAAGTTGACACACAAACTTAACTACCACACATCCCTTGTTCATGTTTTCCTATGCTGTATCCTCAGTTCTGCATCAGAATAGCAGATACCCCGATATTTGTTGGATAAATTCATTTCACTCCAGATCAGAGAAAATTTGTGAAAACCAGCACTGGGCATTTTGAGTCATCAATGTACCAAACTTTTACCCGTCTTCAAATTTTAGTTTAAACTACTTTGTTATGGAATAATAACTAACATACTCTTGTGTCTACTAAGTGCCAGACAACACACTAAATCTTTATGTGCATTATCATGTATAAATCTCCTAGCTCTCTGAAGTTGTTGTTGTTATTATTATTATTGTTGCATATTGCATATTAAGTTTTATTAGGAGCTCTGGTGGCGTAGTGCCTAAGGCATTTGACTGCTAACCAGAAGGCTGGTGGTTCAAACCCACCAGCCACTCCTCGGAAGGAAGGTTGGGCAATCTACTTCTATAGTGATACCACCTCGGAAACCCAAGGAGGGGTTGCTATGAGTTGGGACCAATTTGACAGCAGTGAGTTTTGAGTTTTAAGTTTCATTAAGTTGCAAATACAAAACATTCCAAAGAGTGAAATGTGCTTTATAATACCAAAGTCCTATCTATGTTCCAGGAGCTCTGGTGGTGCTGTGGTTAAAGCATTGGGCTGCCAACCAAAAGGTCGGCAGTATGAACCCACCAAATGCTCTGTGGGAGACGGATGAAGCAGTCTGTTTCCATAAAGATTTACAGCCTTGACCACCCTATGGTGCAGCTCTACTCTGTAGTTATGAGTCAGGATCAACTCGATGGCAGTGGGTTTGGTTTTGTTTGGTAACAATGTTCAACTACTGGTTAACCAAGTTAAACATTCCATTTCTTTTACTTTATACTACACTAGTATAAAGTTGGAAGCTTCAAGAACTACGTTTTCCAATGGGAGCAGTTTAAAGTCTAGATCAGAAACTATGTCAAACAGGTGTCTGGTCATTTAAGCGTACTTAATACTGTTGTTTTTTACCCATTTTGCAAAAAAGGAACCTGAAGCTCTGGGTGGTTGAGCTGTCCAATGAAGAAAGGGAGGGCACAGATTTACCTGAGTCCACCACCATGCAGCCCCCTATGCCTTTTGTTTGCACATGTAATTATTTTATGTCTATTTTCTTTACTAGATGGAGGGCAGGCACCCCGTTTATCCGGTTTGCCACTTGTCCTCCACACCTATGCAATAGATAATCATTGAGTATTGTTCATTGCTGTCTCAGTTATGCACTAATACACTCTCATCTAGCTTCACACCCTCTAATTGAACTCTTGTTTACAACATTGGATGTCAACTAGAATGTAATGAGGTGGTGCTTCAGGCTGCCCTGCTGCCCTGTACTTTTCAGAAATCCTTGGTTCATCTACAATTGGATATGTACATGATAAGAAAACCCGGCTCCTTCCCAGAGCCTACACCTGTCCTGGGTAAAAAGTTACATTGGAGATTTCTTTTTCTTTTATTGTTTTTACTAAAAGATGATTTTTAAAAATTACTCTTGGCAGGTCCTATGACAGAATAATGTGGCTTTTTGTTGGGCATAATATTTTAAACCCATTTACAGCAATAACTGCAGGATTTTTAAATAGGTACAAGCCTTTTATCCTATTACTATAGCCACTAAAACAATTACTTTTACCGAATGATTAAGATAGAGGGACTAGGAAATCAATTTCTGGAGGAGATTACAAATTATTTTCAATGCAAAACTGAAGATAAATTTACAATGTCAAATAACAAACTAGGAAACTTCCTTTCGGTCAGTTCAACATGTGGATGGTAAACGTTAACTAAGTCACATCCTTCCGCCCCCACCCCATCTGTAAAATGGTAACAGGAATTTTTTCTACCACTTTACAAAGATGCTATAAAAGGTTATTTCTTGCAAAATGTGCACGTTTACACAGATTAAAGGTACTAGAAATAAAAGGAAGCGCTATTACCTTATTTATATCCCACAGAACAAGTTTGCTTTTAAGTTTGGCAAATTCATAGGCAGTTAGTCTTCCAATTCCATGTCCAGCTCCAGTAATCAGGACGATTTCTCCGGCGACTGATTTCCTCCTTTTAGGTATAAAAAGCTTCACAAAAGATTCTAAGGTGAAGATGATGAGTAAGGGTAGAAGCAAAATGCCCTCTAGCCAGATTCTGATCATCTTCGTTGCTGCGAGCTTTTGGTATATTACCTTTTACCTTTCACTCTAAATTGCTTTCAGGGTGGTTCAGTTAAAAAAATCCGAGTAAACCCAAGAGCAAGGAACAGCTCTTTATTAAAGAGAAACCAACAACTCAGAAACCGTTCCTTCCGCTGGGCTGGGCTTTGTTAGAGCCTCTGCAATTGGTCCGGACTGCAGAGCAGAGCGATCGCTCGCCAGCTCAGAAATCTGGGAGGGACAAAATCCAGATCTGAGCAGAGCTTCCTAGGTCTTTTTTACTGAGCCCCCATGACGTTTCAGACCAAGATAACCTTCAACCTACTTTCTCCCGGTCTTGTCAATCGATCTAGAAGGTTAGTTGCACACTTCTTTACCTCAATTTGATAAATTCCTCTCTCTTACAAGGATAATAGAATTTCCTCAGTCCAGATGCTTTTTGAAACTTGACAGTTGCGTATTTCTAGATAGGAGATGCAAATGCTGTTTTCCTGCCTTGAGGGATCCTCAGGAGGCCAATTGTTCTGCTCCCCGCTGAGAACGACGCACATTTTAAGTTCTAATTAAACGGTTTCTGGAGGAAGAGCAAATTTTCTCCTCTCTAGGAGAACTGTAACCAAGCCACTGGAAATATCTGATCATATTAAAGAGCTTTGCTTCCAGAAAAGGAAGAGCAGTATATTTGGAAAAACATTTTTCACTCATTAAAAACAAAAAAGCAAAAACTTATTAGAATTTGTAGAGAGAGATGGATTACAGTTTAGTGGTTTTGTTTGTTCGTTTGTTTTTTAGTAATGTATCTTTATCCATGTGAACTCCTAGCCACTTGTGAGAGTTAATAAATCATTTTCTGGTGGTGTAGTGACTAGGGCATTTCACTGCTAAACAGAGGGCTGGCAGTTCAAACCCACCAGCCACCCCTGGGAACAAAGATTGAGCAATCTACCGTAGTGATGCCGCCTCGGAAACCCAAGGAGGGGTCGCTATGAGTCAGGATTGACTCATCGGCAGTGAGTGAATTTATATATTTGGAAACTATATAAATCAAGGACCTGGCAGACACCTTTTTGAAAAGTAACTCCAGGCAAATCCTCCCTTACCTTCCTATTTCTTAGAAGGAGCTTAACACAACTCGGAAGGAAGGTTGGGCAATCCTACCTTCATAGTGATACTGCCTCGGAAACCCAAGTTGGGGTCGCTGAGTCGGGGCGACTGGACGGCACAAAACAACAACAACAAAACACAACTTAAAGTGGCCTGGGCCCCAAATTGCAAATCTACCTTGGGCCACAAAGATAGTAAAAGAATCGACGATTTTATCTGGAATACATAAATGTAATGGCTCGTATCCACTCAGCCAAACAAAGAGCAAACTTTCTGTCTTTGGCAATCTCTTTAAGAGTGTTATCTGTGGTGCATCACATTGTGGTTGATGCTTAACAAGCCAAAAACTAATCCCACTGACACTGAGTCGTTTCTGACTCATAGCGACCCCCACTGGGTTTCCAAGGCAGTAAATCTTTACTGAAGCAGATTGCCCAGTCTTCCTTCCGCGGAGTGGCTGGTGGGTTTGAAACGCCAAACTTCTGGTTAGCAGTTAAATGCCTTAGGCACCACGCCACCAGGTAGTAAAACTTTCTATTTTCTGTGGAGAGATTTTCTGGGTTAGAAGTTGATTTTCTTTTGATATCCCCAAACAACAGTTAACTGAATTCAGGCTACATGCACACTATCCAGCGCTTAGGAAGAAATACTTGTCATGGTCAACCTTTATACTTAAGAGTCAGGAAGACCACAAAAACTGAAGTTCACAACAGTGGCCTCGCTAGGGGGTGCAAGTGTGTGTGTGCGCGGACCACACATGGTGACGTGGTCAGAAAGGTGACACCAGAAATTCTGTAAAATTTTTGTGCAGTGTTTCAGCAGAAATGTATATTTTAAATAAAAATAGCCCTGTCAAACCAAATCCAAACTCACTGCCATGGAGTCTGATCCGACTCATAGCCACCCCTCCTTTGATTTCCGAGGTGGTATCTCCACGGAAGAAGATTGCCCTATCTTCCTCCTGAGGAGTGGCTGATGGGTTTGAACCTTCTGGTTAGCAGACAAATGCCTAGGCACTACACTAGTAGTTAGTTATAATAACAAAAGTATTTTTCATAAGCTCAACTTGTAACTTGTATGTATCAGTATACCTACAAGGCAAAAACCCTATGCTACTTTACTTTTTGAACCTTTAATGCTCTTCCAATCAGAGCGGTCATTGTTACCCAATTGCAATGCGGGTTTGAATCATGTGGTTTTGTCTGTAAACGCTGTTGTAATTTAAAGGTGTCATTTTAATTTTTCTAGTTGTTTATGTCACTACTATTGCTGTTACATTCAGTGACATACAGGAATTATGATTTATGTATCAGTACAAAAAACAGCTCTGGTTGCATAGTGCCTAAGGCACTGGACTGCTAACCAGAGGGCGGGCGGTTCAAACCCACCAGCCACTCCTGGAAGGAAGATTGGGCCATCTACTTCCATAG